CCAGCAGTGCAGATGCCGGCGCCGGCTCAGCGGCAGGCGCTGGCGACGCGGCAGTCCAGCGCGCGAGCCCCGGGCGGGCTGCCTGTTCCTCCGCGCCCTCGTCGTCCGACAGCAGTAGCCCCAGCAGTTGATCTCCAAGCCTGGCCCTGCTTAGCGCTGGGCGAGCTGGCCGCTGAACACCGCCATCATCGCCCGACAGCAATAGCCCCAGCAGCTCATCTCCAAGACTGGCCATCTACGCTGAGATCGCTGCGCGAGCCAAAACGGCCGCGGGGAAGCAGCGCAAGCTGCGCGGGGCGACGAGGAAGAGGAGGAGGTGGTGGGAGGAGGGGGAGGAGGAGGAGGAAGGGGAGGCCGAGACACAAGAGGCAACGGGGATTGGAGGTAGAGGAGGAGGAGGCGGAGGAGGAGGAGGAGGAGGGGGAGGAGGAGGAGGAGGAGGAGGAGGAGGATGGCGGGGGCGCGGGATGCCCGCCTGCTGCGCCCCCATTGTCGCAGCGTCGCATTGGACGCCGCAACAAGGGGGAGGGGATAGCGAGGAGCGAGGGTCAGCAGCGAGCCCACTGGGGGCCCTCTCCATGGAACCCTCCTCTTGCTCAGAGTATTGGGGGGGGGGGGCCTCTTGGGGCCGCCTTCCTGTGGGCATCGATCAATCAGATGCAGCGGTGGTGGTGGTGGTGGCGGTGGTGGCGGGGGGCTTAAAGACCCCTCCCCACCCCCTCCCCCCCCCCCCCCCCCCCCCCCCCCCCCCCCCCCCCCCCCCCCCCCCCCCCCCCCCCCCCACCCCCCCGCGCAGCACGCGCGGAAGCTCGCGCCCAAGCACATGCCCACACACAAACAACAACTACAAACACACGCGCACACACGCATGCACACACAAACACAACTACAAACACACACACACACACACACACCACCCCCCACCCAGGACACACACACGCGCACACGCACGCCGCACGCGCGCACGCGCACACGCACGCGCACACACATACAAACACACACACACACACACACACACGCACACGACGCACGCACGCACGCACGCATGCACGCACACACGCTCTCACACACACACACACACACACACACACACACACAGACACAGACACAGACACACACACACACACACGCACACTTCTCTCTCCGGGACGATCGATTTCGCTTCCTGGGCGGCTTTGACTAAATAATATCAATATTTTTCATAGCGGGAACGCAAAATAAAACATTGCTTCTCAGAGGAGGGCCCTGAAAGTACGCGACAACATTTCTCAGGCAGGGCACCTCGGAGCATGTTGGAAGCCATATCTGGCGATCTGCGGTGCGGTGGGACGGAGGAGGAGGCCATCTGGGGGCGGGCATCACTGGCGGCCCTCGTCCTTTCGCCATCTTGGGCAATCTTTGGCGCTCTAAAGAATCGGCCAAACCCTTGCCGCCTTATACATGTGTATGAGTATGTATATATGTATATATATATATATATATAAGTTTGTATAGGTCCAGGGGGGGGGGGGGAGGGGGAGAGGTAAAAAACCAGGTCCAGAGGGGGGGGGGTAGGAGGGGGAGGGGTAAAAAAAACCCTCCCAAGGGGAAGAAGGAGGTTGGAAGAGGAAACTCTTTAGGCCACCTACGCCCTAAAGGGCCGGTGGGATTCGCTAGTAGTAGACAGACCACCTGCGGCCAGAGGGCGGCGGCAATTGTCGCGGTGGCGTTGGAGCGGCGGCACTGGTGGCGGGAGCGGCGGCAGTGGCGGTAGCAGAGCGGCAGTGACTGGGGCGGGGCGGCAGTGGTGGTGGTGGTGGCGGCGGCGGCGGTTGGCGGCGGCAGCGAGCAGCAGCGGCGGCGGCGGGCTGCTTCTTCGCCCTGCCCTCCCCGTGGCCCAGGTGGGCAGCGCTGGGCGGGCGCTGCTGGGCCTGCCGGCGACTGGTGGCGCGCAGGCGTCGCTCGAGAAGGCGTTGTTGCTGGGGCTAATAATCGCTGCCGCCCCCCCCCCCCCTCCCCCGCAGCAGCCGCCGCCCCCCCCCGCCTCCCATGGCGGTTGGCGGTGGCGCGGGGTCGAGGCAGGGGGGGGCGGCGGCTCGTTGGGCGGGCTAGAAGGTGGCGTGCGACATGCTGATCGGCGACGCCCCGGTGCCTGGGTGGTCCGATCCGCAATCGCAGCAGGACTTGCTGGTTGGGAAAGACAAGGGGGGGCTGGTAGGTAGCTCCCCCTTAACCCTGGGCCCCTCCTCCCCCAGAGGCCGCTTGCTACCAACAACCTGGGGTAGTGGGGGCAGGATGGGCCGGCCGCCTGCTACAAACCTGGGGCTAGACATCATCCCCCCTGCCTGGCCACCTCGCGAGGACCAGCTGGAGACCCGGGTCTTGGAGGCGCTAAGCGCGGAGCACCGGCGGCGCCAGTGGGCGGCGGTGGTCGAGGAAGACCGCCGTCTCGCGGCCTTGCCGCGCGTGCACTGGCTGTCGACTTATCCGAATAATCTCATTCCATCGAAGCTCTTGACGGGGTGGGGCATGAACTGGTGGCTCGGCGGCGTGGCGGCTGTGCAGGATAGGGCTAATAGCTTGGACTGGGACATCCTGGTGGACTGCCTCGGCGCCGGGCCTGGAGGCGGGGCGCGGCAGTGGGCGGCAGGGCTAAGGGACCCAGTCCACTTGCCAGCATCGTGGAATTACCACGGGGTCGCGCAGCAGCTGAGGGGTGCGATAAGAACCCTGGCTGCGGCGCCGCGTGGGGCTAAGGTGCTCATCTTCTGCCGCCAGGGGGAGTACCGGTCGGCGTGCGTGGCTGCTGTGTGTCTCTGCGCCATGGGGCTAATGAGGGTTGAGCAAGCGGTGCGCCTCGTGCGCGCGAGCCGCCCCCAGGCGCTCCCACCTGGCAACTCGCGCGCCATGGAGGACATCGCGAAACTCGAGAAGCTCTGGGAGAACGAGGGCGAGGCGCTAAGGCATGCGGCTGCGGCAGGCGCCACCAGGGCTCGCGGGCGGCTGGGGGGTGAGGAGGGGGAGGGAGGAGGGGGGGGGAGGAGAAGGAGGAGGAGGAGGAGGGCGACGACGACGAGGACGAGGGCGAGAACGAGAAGGACGAGGACAAGGTGGAGGAGGAGGACGAGGAGGGAGGAGGAGGAGGGAGGAGGACGAGGTGAGGAGGAGGGAGGAGGAGGAGAAGGAGGAGGAAGGGGACGAGGAGGACAAGGAGAGGGGGGAAGAGGAGGAGCAGGAACGTGAGGGGTCGGAAGAGAAATAGGAGGAGGAGGATGGGGGGAGGGAGGAGGATAAGGAGGAAGAGGACAAGGGGGATGATGACGAGGACAGGGGGGGAGGAGGAGTGGACGGGCAGGAGGAGGCGGGGGAGGAGGAAGACGATGAGAGGGGACGACGATGCGATGAGGAGGTGAAGAGGAGGAAGAGGAGGAGGGGAAAAAGAGGAGGAGGCAGATGATGAGGGGGCGTAGTTCGTTCCAGGCAGAGTGATGAGGGGGGGCCCCTGCTGCTGTCCCCCCTGTCTTCCATCTCCATCTCCTCGTCCTCCTCGTCCTCCTCGTCCTCCTCCTTCTCGTCCTCCTCGCCCCCCCCAACTTGGCTCCTCCTCCTCCCCCCCTCACCTGCTGCTGCTGCCCCCCTCCCCCAGGCTTCGACGAAGCCCAGTTGCCCTTGGGGGGGGCCGCCGTCACCGTGGCCTTCGAGCGCGGGTGCGCTCGCGTGAAGGGCGAGAGGGAGGCGGGGGGCTAAGTTTCGGCGGGGCGCCGCCGCCGCGGGCGCCGCCGGAGCTAAGGTATAAGCGGACAGACGGCGCCTGGTTGCCGCAGCGAATTTGGGAGAAAAGGTGGAAGAGACATAGATAGGGAGTAAGAGGGGGGAGGAAAGGGGGGGGGAGGAGGAGGAGGAGGAGGAGGAGCAGGATGAGGAGCCTCCCCCTGACGACGAGACGACTACCATGCTTTTTATACCCGAAGGCTAGGGGCAAGAAACAGTACCGAGTTCAAAGGCAAACAAGACGACGCGTCAATCATCTTCTTGTGCTTTCCATCGGCGGGCTTTAGCAACACCACGCCAGTGCCCTCGCCGCCCCCCCCCCCAAAAAAAAAAAAAAAAGAGGGCCCCAGGGGGGGCATCATCTATAGGCAGGGGGATGCGCTTGTCCAAGGCAAGCGCATATTCAATTATTAAATGAGAGGAGGAGGAGCAGGAGGAGGGGCCAGGAAGAGAGAGGAGCAGGAACAGGAAGAAAGGAGCAAGTCATATGTGACTCGACATTATTTCCTGGCGCGTTCCCCCGCAGATTGGATTCCATGTGATCTTAGCCCATCCATGCGATCTTAGCCCCCATCGCGCGTTCAATTCCATTAGATCCCATGCCCCCCAGCAAGTGAATGAGAGCCCCAGGAGGGTTGAATCCTAGGTGCCAGATGCAGGTGGGCTAGGTGCCAGTTAGCGCGGTTAGACTTTCTCCCTCCCCCGCTCCTACCCCTCCATTCCGCCCCTCCCCCATTCCATGCCTTCCCCGCGGGGCCCGCAGAGCATGGCGACGACCAGCCCGACACGCCCCGACAGTCACCGCGGGCGGCAAGCGCTCTCCCGGAAGTCTGAGCACCTCCCACGCGCACGAGGGCTATGCTGGTAATCGTGCGGACCATGATGTAACGATGGATGTCTGGGCGATGATGGTGATGAAACCTAGGACGGCGACGAATGTGGGGGACGGTGGTGACCTCCTCTCTTGCGCTGGTCGCAATGGGTCGTGTACACTCTGAAGTCGGTTGGGTTGCGCTTGCTCTCTCGTTCGGTGGCGGGGCCGTGAATCACCGCGCGCCCACGGGCCGCGTGCCCCTGCGCGTGGCCTCAGGAAGAAGACGGCACCGCTAGAAAACGACGCCGTCGAGCCGCCAGACCGATGCCGACGGCGACCGACGGAGCCCGACGGAGCCCGACGGCCAGCCCAGCACAATGGCCGGGGACAGGGCGTCAGCCACATACGACGAGGCTCGGAAGAGGGCACGCCCTCACTACCACTTTTTGAACAAGTTTGCCATGCATTTCTTCGAGTCCGCCTGCGAGCCCGAGCTCTTGGAGCCTGAGGCCTGCCCACTCTTGGCCATGCTCTGGGGGCACACCTTCTTCCTCCACTCCTCCACGTTCGACGCCTCCTCGGGGCCCAGCAGCCACCCGTGCACCAGCAGCGGCTTCAGCGTCTTCATGTTCACCTGCTCGTTCTTGTCCGCCTTGGACTTCACGTCGGCATATATGGCCAGAGCGGCGTCTTTCCCGCGCAGGGTAGTAGCTGGCTGCCCCTCCTCCGGCGCCCCCGGGGCGTCGCAGAACAAAGCCAAAGCGTCGCGAATCTTGGTTTCGATGCCCGCGTTGGCCCCCAGGTCGAGCTTCGGCGGGCGGCCATTCTTCATCGCCTTCACGTACTCGAGGGTGTTCTGCTGAATCTTCAAGGCCCCCAACCCGCACCACGACGCCAACTTGGAAGTGCCCAGCGACGTCAACGCCACCGCGGACTCTGCCAGACTCGGGTAAGCCTCAATGTCAACGCACGCGAGGATGCTCTGCTTGAACCGTTCCTCGGCCGGCTCCCCCATGAAGCGCTCCAAGTAAGGCTTCTCCACCCTGTCAATATATTTGTCGACGGACTTCAGGAACTTCCCGTGGGTCTTGAACACGTCGGAGATCTGCTGGGCAGTGGGGTTCTCCACGTCGGCGAGGTACTTCATGCACGCGTTCCTGGCCAATTTGGAGTCTGCCACGGCATCGGCGGCGACAGTCGCCCCAGGGTAGGACACATCCTTCGGCGCCAGGTCCTTCTCGCAGAAGATGTTCGGCAACACCTCGGTCTCGACCCCGATGGTCTTCTTCATGGCGTCAACCCTCACGTTCCACTCGTCCAAGATGCTCGTGCTCTTGGTTTTGACGTCCTCGCGGCGGTACCTATAGGCAATATCCCTGGGCTCGTGCACGTCGACGGGATCTTTGCCGATACTCGTCACGGACTGGATGAAGCGCTCCTTCTCCTGCGCGATCGCCTGCTTCGTTATCGGGTTGACGGCGAGCAAGGCCCTCATGGAAGTGTCGATCAAGGACCCCACGTCCCCCTCCGCCAACTCCTGGTAGCCCGGCGCAAAGAGCTGCTGGGCCAGGTCGTGGCCGTGCCGCAAGAGCTGGTTCAGCTCCTCCTTCACGTCCGCCCACTTCTTCTTGCAAGACATGCAAGCTCGCAAAGCCTCGGCCGGGAGGACGAGGGAAGCAACTGCACCGTGCCTGTCGCACCACTCGCGAGGAGTCAGGTCGTTGTCCACGAACGCCAGAGATTTCATGAGGGTTTTCTCGAAGTGCTTCTTCATGACTTTCACCTCCGCCTCGTACTTGACGTCCACGCCGGTCCGCTTCAGGTAGTCCACGACGGCAAGAACGAACTCTGTCCGGCCCACCGTCCCCGACGAATTGACGTCCAAGGTTGCCCTCAGGATGGCAACGAGACTATTCTGGTTTACCTCGCCCATGGTCTCCAAGAGCAAGCTGATGCCGTCGTAGTCCCTCTTCTTCTCGTGCAACCCAGCCAACGCGTCCTCCAAGTTTGCCGGGATGGGCTGCGACTCGTCCTACACGTTGAGCATCTGGGCGGCCTCCGACGACCCATACAAGGACTTCAGGCGCAAGAAGTAGTACTTTCCAAACGTGATCTTCTCTCTGCCCTCCATCACCGCCTGCTTGTCGCGGGTGATCTGCTCGCGCAAGGTCACGTTGTTCCTCAGGGTGGTGTCGATTCTGGCGGTCTCCCAACCTTTGAAGTTATCCTGGATGCACTTCGCGACCTTCTGCTCGAGAGCGGGGCTGGAGCCTTTGCCAGTGGCCTTTTTGGTTTTCCCGGCGCTCTGGGCGAAGTGCACGTCGACCAAGGCGCTGTCCGGGGGGAGCTCCGCCTTGGCCTTCTTGGGAGGCGGGGTGGCGTGTACGTGAGGGCCGCCGCCCTTCCTCTTGGCCTGTGTCGCCTTGGCGATCTTGGGGGCCATTCTCTGGACCAGGAGAGTACGGAGTGCAGGTGTACGCAAGCTCGCTCGAGAAAAAATGGCTATGGCGATGGGGTGGCGTGTCTAGCCATGCTAATGGCACTGCTGTTGGTGCATGCGTGGACGTGGCGATGACGGTGGCCATGGTGATGCGTGGTGATGACTGTGGCGTTGGTGATTGTCGTGGTGGTGGTGCGACGAGGGATGGTGACGCGATTCACTCGCATGCCCCTGCTCGCAAAGAGTGCGAAGTGCCACACAGCGATGCTCTGCGCAAGCCCGACGGACCCCGACGGGGCCCAACGGGGACCTCGAATTACAGATGCTGGCCGTTCCCTCGCAGCTGGGCGCCCCAGGACCCGCGCTTTGAAACCGCCCCGCAATTGTTTGGAGAATTGTCTGCCGGATTTCTCGGCGAAGTTTCGGCCGGATTTTTCGGTGGAGTTTCTGCCGGATTTTTCCGTGAAGTTTGCGCCGGAATTTGCCCTGCAGACCCTGCCGGATTTTGTGGTGAAGTTTTCCGTGAAGTTTTTTACAAATCGAATCGTTACTTGAAAAACTTCACGCGGAACTTCACTGGAAACTTCGCTGCCGCTCCCCCCCCTCCCGCATGAATCCCCAATCCCTGGGTCTCCTAGGGGTTCCTCGGGCGCTCGGCACGCATGGCCGCCGCCCGCTGAAGCGCGGCCGGCGGGGCCCCCACCAATGCGGGGGCGAGCCCAGGAGACTCTGACCAAGACTGCACGTCGGCCAAGGCGCCCGCGCCCGCGTACGCGGCACTCAGGCGCGTGAGAGAACTCGGAGCCACGCTGGGCCCGACGGAGCCCGACGGAACCCGACGGAGCCCGACGGAGCCCGGAGAGCACGGGGAGGGGGCAGTAGGGACATGGGCAGGCGACGGGCGGAGGGAGCCAGAGGAGTGGACCAAGGTAGACGGGGCAGGGACACTGTGGGCAAAGGGACTGAGGAAGGAATGCGGAAGACGAAGGAGCGAGCTCGATGGAGGAGCGTCTCGGAGAAAGGGGCGAGGAGAGAGTCGACGAGAACAGGTTTTCAGTCCTAGCTCAAGGACACGCGCGCGTAGAGGGGCGAGACAGAAGAAGGCGAGGGGACGGGGCGGGAGAGGGCAAAGGAGGCCGGCAAGGGGAGGAGGAGGGGGAGGGGCCAGAAGTGCCCGACGGAACCCGACGAGGCCCGCCAGCTCCTCACATGGCACAGTGGGCCCCAGGAGTCCCGCCGAACCCCGGCGGAGCCTTAAGGAGCTCGACGAGACCCGATCTTCTCCACATGCCCCCTTTGGGCCCGCACGGGCCCGGCGAAGCCCGACGGGGCCCGACGGAACCGAACGAGGTAACCCACGAAACCCGAGGGGGCCCGACAGAACCGAACCGCACGGCCCGACGAAACCCGAAAGGGCCCCTGAGTCCAGGCGGAGCCCAGCCCGAACCCACAGGGCCATCTCGAGGCCCACGGAGCCCGACAGAGCCCGACGGGGCCACGCAAGAGGGGGGCGGCGGGGGGGCGCAAAAGCGCTCCAAGATACTGCATAGCTGGATCGCTTCCCCTGGCGACCCAAATGTCGTAGAGGTGCTGTCGCTTAGAGCACCAAGCGATGGCCAGGAGCCTGGCTAGGTCATCGGCATGCGCCAATATGGCGTACGTGCTAGTCGTCTGGAGGCCGTATAGGGCGCACCATTGCGCAGGCTGCCCTCCGACGGCCTGTCCGCGGTAACTGTCGTACGGGACGCCCGCGTGGGCGGCGGTCCACGCACCGCCGCGCACCGTCCACGCAAAATCCCGAAGCTCAGCGCGGTCGCCGTCTGCGGCAAGCTCTTCGCGACGAGCGCCCAGCTCATCCAACAGCTCCGCAATAGTCAGGTCGTCCATGTCAGCGCCGACACCGCTGCCGACAGGGCCGACGCTGACCCCGACACGGCGGGGGCCATGGTTTCCCGGTTGCGGGAGCTGGGACCAAGTGTCCATGTCGAGCTCGGAAAACAACCAGGGAAGGACGTCCCAATCGCAGTGGGTGCCGGATGTCTCCTTGGGCATCGGGGCCGCTGGGCGGTCCGCCTCCACGCAGACCCCGGGCCCCAACGACCGCACCACCTCATCCATGGGCATCCAAGTTGCGTTGGATACCCAGACGTCCCCGGGCAGCGACTTCACGTTGGAGAGGACGTGAACGGTCCAATTAGGATCGAATCCCCCCTCATCCGACCATGCGAACTCGCCCGCGCACCGTGCGAACCGATGAGCCCATGCATTCTTGGACGTGCTCCACGCGTCTGGGGCGAGGTGGCGGCCGTCGCCGGGCAGCTTCTTCATGGGGGCCACCCCGATGAGCAAGGGGTTCTGGACGCAGTAGACGACCTTCACGTAAACGACCTCGTCCTGCTCGTCGACCAGACGAAGAATGCAACGTTTGAAGAAGTCCCTGTTGTGGCACACAGGGCGCACCCAGTCTGGGCGAGCGCCGCCGGCATTCGCAATCGCGGGTGCGACGGGCACGGACTCCAAGAGCTCCTGCGGCAGGGAGGGGGGAAGAGAGTGGCGGGGGCACCCGGGGCCCCAGCCTCGCCCCCGCCAGGGTACGTCTCGGACATCGGCGGGACGCAGAAACGACCGAGAGCTGATATCGCAGACTGGGCGCCAAGGGGTCGTTCAACACACGCCCTGCGCGCCTGCCCGCCGCGAGGCTACGCGGGGGGATTGGTGACCCATGGGCGGCCAGGGGCGGCTACCACCTCTCGCCGAGTACATCCCTGGACAGGTACATCCCAGCCCCCCACGCCCCCCGTCATCGAGTAGCCCCCCGCGTCGCCCCTGGGAGCCCGACGGGGCCCGACGGAGCCCGACGCGCCGCCATACTTGAGGTGGCACTGCGGGCGGCACAAGCACGGGCGGCAGGGAGCTCGCTAAGGTGCCCGCGCAGCCATCAAGTGACCCCTGACGGATCGCTCTCGCGCGACTTAGTCGCAGGAGGGCCGATGGGCCCACTCGGCCCCGACGAGCCCAGGGCGCCCGAGCGGCCCTAGCCTGGGCCACGCGCGGCCTCGCATGTCCCGAGAGCCCCCAACCGAAACATCGAGGTGGAGGCACCCCCACGCCCCCGTTATCGAGCGGCCCCCGCGTCGCCCCGGAGAGCCCGACGGGGCCCGACGGCCCGCGCGGGCCGACGCGCGCGCGAACCCCGCGGGGCCCGACAACGCCCGACGGAACGCGGCGCATGGCCGAGAACCTCTGCCCCGAGAGAGACCCGGCGAGCTCGACGGAGCCCGAAGGCGAGGGGACTGGCGGGGTCGGCGACAGCCAGGGACGCGGGCAGGCCAGGACGGTGAGCTATTTCGACCGGCGGGGGGGGGCCCAGGAGCGGGGCAGGGGTCCCCTGAACCTCCACCTTCGGGGCGATAATCGGCTCGGCGGCGAGCCTCCTCCTCTCCTCGATGTCGCTGGAACTCAGGGGCCACGCGGAGAAGAACTCGTCCGCCCTAGCGCGCTGCGACGAGCTGCAACGCTCCACCGCGCCGACGACAAGCGCAACGGAGGCAATTTGCCGTCAGCCTCGGTCTCGTCGGCGCGCAAGCCGTCGATCTTGGAGAAGATCTTCTCCCTCTGCTCTGCGATGTCGGCGAATGCTTCCACGCGAGCCCGCTGCGCCTTCCTGGCGTGCTGCTGCTTGACCTGCGCGCACTTGCCCCGCCACCCTCCCGTGGCCCTTGATGATGGCTTTCGTCGCGCGCGCGCCCCTGGCGCGGCCGTCGGCGCCCCCCCCCCGCCTTGGCCTGCAACGAGAGTTCCTTCACGTACACGTGGCGCCCAGTAATGCGGTTGGGCTCGCGGCGCGCCAGGCGTTGAAGCTGGGCTCGAAGTCGCGGCAGGAGCTTCTCCGCCCGCGGCAAAGACACCAAAGCGGCAGCCTGCTTCACGAGGCTTCGGCACGTCATCGTGTTGGCACTGTAATCATTGTGGTGCTTCATGACGGTGCTGGCAGCGGCGTGCCCCTGCTCCACCGTAGTAGAGGAGAAAGAGACGTTGGCCAGCAGCCTCAAGCCATCCTTGATGGTGTCCTTATCGAAGCCGGCGTGGAGCAGGGTCCATATCTTAGCTGACGTCTCCTCATCTGGCATGTCCTGCTGGCAGAGGCTGTCCAGGTTCTCATCGACGTCGCCGATGCAAAGCGAGAAGGGCAAGCTTTGCACGGAACGGAAGCGGCCCAGAGTGAAGCAAGCCATGACGAGGCCTGCGTGGCAACTGTCGTCGCGAAGACGGTGCCACGGTTCGTCGATGCTGTCAGCGATCGTCTGCCATACTTCGTCCGAGATGTCCTGCTGGCGGCGGACCTCCTCGTGGATCCCAGCCTCCACTGCCCCAATGACCTGTATGAGGCGGTCGTCCTTGAGCAGGGCATGCAAAGCCGTGTCCACAACCATCGAACTCGTGGCCATGATGGCGACGAAGCGCCGGACCTCCCCTGCCCAATGAGAGAAGCCCTTGATGAAATACTTCGAGCTGCTGGTCTCTCCCATGATGAATCGGTGGAAACCCTCCAGACCAGCGACAACAGAGGAGAGGGGCGTGCGGCAGCTTCTCCCCACACTGGCCCAGCGGCTGTCACTGAACTTGCGGAATTGCCAGAGGTGCGCCAGCACCACTTCCACTCTGTCCTTCACGTCGGGCCGCCCACTGAATTTGGCGGCGACCTTGAGCTGGCCATCCTGGTACCTCAGTTGGAGTTCTTCTAGCTCGTCCAGCCACTTTTCGTCCACGCCTAGGACAACCCAGACCTCGCGGACCGAGTGGACGGCCCAGTCCTCAAACGCCGAGTCTTTCAGGAACTCCATGTGCAGCCATGGTCGCACCTGCTTCATGAGGATGTCGAAGGAGTTGCGCAAGGAAGAAATTGCGATGAACGTGGACCTGGTGACTTCCTTGGTAACGAGAAACTCCAAAGCCGCAGCTTTCCAACCGTTGTGGATATCGTGCGTCTTGCAGGCGTCGGA